GAGGTTAGCCGTCGGAGAGCGCCGAAGAGCATTCCAGGTTGGGTCGAAATGCTCGTTGTGCTGCTCGCGGCAGCGTCGGGCAATCCGGCCGTCGTCGCCGCCGCATCACCGTTGGCGGCTCCGGCGAGGGCGCACCGTGCGCTCGCGCCGACTCTCGACTGCAACGGGGTCCTCGCCGCCGTGCACAAGGCGCTGAACGGGAAGGACTGGACAAAGGAAGTGAACGGACGGTTCGTTGGGTACGACGTCGGATGGCAGTGGCCCGACCCTTCGATCGATTGCTGCAATAAGGAGTTTGTCAGGTACCCCCGCCTACGCCAAGCGAGCCTGTAGAGTGCCCGTGCACAGGTTTGGCCCGCTCTCTCCCAACGACGCAGGTGCAACAAAACAACACACGAGGTCGCGGAGCTGGATCTGCGGCACATCGGCAGGCTCAAGGGCACTCTCCCAGTCCAGCTCGGCCAGCTCACCTCGCTCGAGTACCTCCAACTAGAAGCGGAATACGTGTCAATGTATTCCAACCAGCACTCTCGGCTCCGCTGGTTCGGCTGTATGCGTACCTCGTGTCCACACGGTGCTCTGAATGCACTGCACAAGACCATCCTCCCGCCCCGACGCTGGGTGTGTCCTCACCACGCAGGTACCTCGACCTCAAAGGCACCCTCGGCGTCACCGGCACTCTGCCGCCCGAGCTCTTTGGCAGCAAGATGAGCGAGCTGATCGCGGTTCGGGCCAAGTACAGCTCACTCTCCGGCACGCTGCCCGCGAGCGTCTTCGAGCTGCCTCGCCTCGACAGGATCTACATCGGCGGCTCCCGGAGAACGCCCTTGCTCATCTCGGGCACCCTCCCGAGCGAGATGGGCGAGATCCAGCCGAGATCTAGCCGAGATCCAGCCGAGATCTAGCCGAGACACGCGGCCGAGAGCAGATACAGCCGAGAGCTCATCGCTTCTCTCGGGCAGCAGCAGTAGCGCTACCTCAATCCGTTGCCAGATCTGGAACCCCTATCCACGTCCTAGCAGCAACCCCCCCCCACACACACACACAACACACACCCTCCCTCTGCCTCGGGTTGTAGGAAGCACCATAACCGAGCTGTGGGTCGACAGCACGCGCATGTCGGGGACGATAATGGATTCGGTCTCGCGGCTGGGGAGGTGGGCTTCCAGTAGTTGTAGATCTCCCCCGCATCTCCCCGTATCTCCCCCACGCCTCCCCCAGCTCTCACCCAGGCTGAAGACGCTCGAGCTCGACGACAACTCGTTCTCCGGCACCGTCCCGCCCTCCCTCTCGAGGTTGAGCGAGCTCCAGGCGCGAGAGATCTGGAGAGTCCGACCACCCCACCCCCACACAACCCCCTCCACACCACCGCCACACACCACACACACACACACACACACACACACACACACACACACACACACACACACACACACACACACACGCACACACACACACACACGCACACACACACACGCACACACACACACACACACGCACGCGCGCGCACACACACACACACACACACACACACACACACACACACACACACACACACACACACACACACACACACACACACACACACACACACACACACACACACACACACACACACACACACACACACACACACACACACACACACAGCCACACACACACACACACACAGCCACACACACACACACACACACACACACACACACACACAACCACCACCCCTTCCCCGCAGGTCGCGGTACCGCTCGATGTTCACGATCAAGGTCGGACCGCAGCGCATCACCTTTATGATCGGCGCCGGCCCGCAGCTCCAGTTCATCAAGGCCAAGGACGAGGTCCTCGACCAGGCGCCCTTCATCAGCCTTAATTAATCCGCCCTTACTCACCCCTAATTGGCCTTACTTAACGAGTCCCTCGACCAGGCGCCCGTGTACGGCTTCACCATCCCGGTCTCTCGACGCGAG